GGGGGGGGGGAAGTAAAACTCATGGGTTGAGATAAAAACAGTTTAGTAGAACAGAAACAAAGAAACTAATGATAATAATAACAATAATAAATTGACAATAATAATAATAAAAGGATTGGAATATACAAAACAAGTGATGCACAATGCAATTGCTCACCACCTGCTGACTGACGCCCAGTTAGTTCCTGAGCAACGATCCCTCCCAGCCCCACTCCCCCACTTTATAGACTGGACATGATGTCACATGGTATGGAATACCCTGTTGGCCAGTTTGGGTGAGGTGCCCTGGCTGTGTCCTGTGCCAACTTCTTGTGCCCCTCCAGCTTTCTTGCTGGCTAGGCATGAGAAGCTGAAAAATCCTTGACTTAGTCTAAACATTACTTAGCAACAACTGAAAACATCAGTGTGTTATCAATGTTCTTCTCATACTGAACCCAAAACACAGCACTATACCAGCTACTAGGAAGACAGTTAACTCTATCCCAGCTAAAACCAGAACATGATTTATCACTTCTGTTTACTACATATATCTGAAAAAAACCACTGAACATCACTGGAGTCCTTGAAAGAAACTGCAGCCTTTTTCTGCTGTTTATTTAAGTAAAGCCAATTTTACATACACGTTGCTGGATACTTGATGCTGGGATACCATCTTGAAAATTATTCATAATATAAAGTAGATCCTTTCTTTGGCTGGGACAAAAGAGAAATACGCTTCATGCAACAAAGAAAACTGTGTTGATCATCTTTGAAAAAAATATTTTAGAAGCTAAGTACTTAAGTAGCATGAAACTCTGGATCTCATAGAGGTAATGGAGTAGAAGAAAATCAGTACTTCAGCTACAGCTCTTTTCCTTTGTGTTCCTGTTTATCTGAACAAGTACAATTCTTAGCTTCAACTTCCAGCTTTTCTGCCCCATTGTACTGCAGGACAAATGGTGTTCCTGTAAAGCCTTGGAAGGGCACTGGACTCCAGCAGCATGCAAGACATGAATATCAGGGAATCTTGCTCAGCAAAATCACACCAAATTATTCAGAGAATTCATAGAAGCCTCTCATGGACATTATCAGCTTAGGCTTTTTGGCTTTTCATGATTGTGCCTCATGAAGATCCCTCTAAAGATTTTTTCCCCAAGTTTCCATACCTGTCATTGCTCTAGGAAATTACAGGGCTTGTTGGCCATGAGTTTCACATGATATTCTGCTGCACCTCTTAGAACCTGTGGGTGACCCTAAAACACAAAATGAAATTCACGTTCATGAGTAAGAGGATCCCAAGTCGGCATTTATAACTCTCTTCCTGGTTCGTAGCTTCAAGTTTGGGACAGTCCCTCATCTATCTTACACAGTGACCTGAGCATAGGGCAGCCTGCACTACGCTGCCAGGGTATGGTATCACTGCATGGACTTGTCTGTGACAGTACAAACGTCAGCATCCACTGGCCCCGCTCTTTAGCAAATTCCCTGTGTCTACTTGCCAGGACACCTTGTGGGACAATGTGTAGGCACTGTTTGTAGTGTGAGAGGAGGAAGAGTTCTCATTGCCTGGATAGTTGCCTTCATCCTGCTGTAGACGAATAGCACCAGAGAGGCTACCCAGAAGTGCCAAAAATAAACTCTTTATTTCGTATTTAGGGACCTTAATAAGGGATTGATTCTCTGCAGTGCTGAGCACTCCAGCCCTGATTCAGCTGAGCAGTTGAGCATGACTGCAGTGGGATGACCCATGGACTTCAAGTCAAGCCCATTCTCAAAGCATGGATTTATTTATTTATGTATGTATTTCTGGGTCAGACCTGGCATGTGTAGAGTCTTGAAGGACCAAGCCCTGTGTGACCTCATTTTTGGCAGCATTCATCGTCCAGCAGATCTGAAAGCAGAGGAATGTTTAAATAAATGTTTAAATGAAGTTTTAAAATATGTCAATGAGGTTTTGAGTTTGGCATCTGATTCCCTTATAATTTTTTAAAATCTTGGCTACTTTTGGGGAAGGCGGGGGGGGCTTTTTGTTATTGTTGGGTATTCTTGTTTGTTTTGGTTTTAGTCAAAGGTGCCTTAAACAGAATTTGAAGAGGTTAATTTTAGCTGCTTGTTTGGCTGTGAAGACTGGTTTCTGCCTTACAGTTAATGTAGAGGTTCGCAATGAAGTACTAGTGAGCTTGACTGTTAACTTAAAAGAAAATAACCAGCTATTGAGTCCTGTCTGTGCAAATAATCTGAAATGGCTGTTGTGCTGCCAAATATATAACAGAATGGATACAGATGTTATAAAAGCAGTCAGGTTACCAGACAAATCATAAATCAACAGTGCCTGAAATTAGTAGCGAGTCTTAATTACAGAATAAAATTGAATGCCAATATTCAGCAAAGCTGGAAGTGAGGGATGCTCTCATGTGGTACAGAAAGTTTGTGATTCGTTCATTGGTCTTAAAACAGAGATGAGCACATAAGGTGTGTGGGTGGTTCCACTGAAATGTGGATAGCTCAGACCAGGATGAAGAAAGGGGCAGCATATTTTAATCCCTTTTGGCAGGCAGGCTTTTGGAATCCAAATATAGTTGTCTGAGGTTGTGCCTGAGGTTGCAAATGCCTGCAGCAAGGCTTTTGTCTCCCATCTAGATCTTTGTGTTTTGTAGCCCACTGATTAATTACTGGTAGGAAATAATTAATAATTAAAAGGTTTTGTGCTTTTGCCTGAAGACTTGTGTTGGTTATCCTCTTTGTAGACAGGCATTTGGAGATATGTGTTGGGAAACAGGTTTTCTTAACTGGAACCAAGTGGCAAATAAAAGCCTGGATCTCAGGTTATTGGAAAAGACCCACATTTTGTTCAGTGCTGAGCATCTTCAAATTCCCTGTAAAGGAAAAAATGTAGTAGGTCAATGGGAGACTGTAGTTCTGTGGTAATTACAGAATCAACGTTTAAAATGCCCTTAGGAGAACTGCTGGCTGAGGAGCAGTACTCTGCTGAATAGGGGTTATAGGTAGAGGGAACAGAGGAGCGTGGGGTGTCACCTTTAACAAGAAAATTCACAAGCTTTATGAATCTTGGCCTTTAGGAAAACACAAGTATCAGGAGGCCTATTCTCAACCAAAAGCACTGTGGCTCGAATTTATCAAAGCATAGTGGGTGCAGTTTCACAAGTAGTTCAGTGTCACTGGCAGGTGTCACTGAAAGGAGCTATTTCCACCCTCCAGCTTCAGGATTCAAACTTCTCTGTCCACACTTGCACTGGATTTAGCAGTTGTGCCATTGGCAAGTTACCTGGTTCAGTGAGCTGATCCCATGCTGAAGTGCACAAGGTTGTTTTGGCTGGGTAAGTTTTGAACCAGTTCACCCTGCAGCCACTCGCACAGTCTGCGAAAAAAAGGAAGGCTCAAGAGTCTAATGGCTGGTGACCTTAGACCGTTGGAGCCTGGAGGTGGGTACCCAGGCGGAGCAGCGAAACAGCCCAGCTCAGTCTGAGCCTGAGCTGGGTCAGGTTCAGCCTGTGCTTGCGGACAGAAACACTGAGCAATGGTCACGGTACAAAACCCTCTCGGGCCTCAGCAGGTTTCATAGATGAAAGGAGAGATAAAGTGATGCCTGTGGCATTCATTTATTTATTTATTTTAACCTAAAGTGGCAAAAATATAGAAAAGTTTTTTTCTGTCTAACAAAGGCTTGAATTGATGCTTCTGGTTCCCTTGGCAACAGCATTAAACAGGCAGAATAAATAAAAGCAACGATTTCCTCTATCAGCAGCTTGCTTCTGAGATGACCAGGTTCAACGGTGTTTAAAAGCAAACGGCTTTGTGTCCAAGTTACAATTTTCCTTCTCCAGTTCATCAGAGTCAGGCATTATTTTGGAGCCATGGAGAGGAGTCATGTGGGCCCATGGTGTTCCCGGAGACTACATGCCATAGCTTTAGATAAAGGTAGCTTGCGTGGAGGAAACTCAAAAATTAGATTTTCAGTATTTGCATGTCACATTTTTTGTGTTTTCCTTTTTCTTGTTCCTTTGTCATGTTTCCTCTGCACAAAATACAAGCTTCTGTGCCATTTTCCTTTCTCAGTGCACTGATGCAAAGGCAGAAGCCAGTGAGCACACCATTACTGTTCTGTACTGAAAAAAGCTTTGCACCTTCCTTGGGGTCCTCATTTCTTCCCAGCCCTGCTAAAGAAGCAGCCCTTGCTGTCTTCTGCAAAAACTCTGGAGCTTGAAGGCAGCGCATGCAAATGGGAGCGGGGCTCTTGAGCTTCGTGCAAAGGACTGTTTTCCTTATCCAGTCCAGTAATTCCCTCCAGTTAAAAACCGTAGTTTATTTTTTCAGAGAAAAGCCAGCGGGTATAATGGGGATGATGAAAGTGTTATCTAGAAGCAGGATTAAATGTAAATTGTTTTAAATTTTAGAAAAAGTAAGAAAAAAATGCTGGTATCTCTTCTATAGGAGAGCATTTTTATCAATTTCTGTAAAAGAAATCTGATTGCCAAATGCATTACACTGAGCGTTTAGGACAAAGATGCATGGAAAAACTACACTGCATGAGTCTTGCCCAGAGTCACGGTATCTCCAACGTGTATCTTCAGGAAGGAAAAGGAAACAGTTCTGCTGCTGTCGGAGAACAAGTGTATTAATAATGACTCAGTGACCCAGTTCGTTCCCTGGTTCTTTGAAAGCTTTGGAAAGATGAGTGACGTGCTCATCCTCTGTAATGCTGCCATTTTGCTCACTGAAGCACGCAGACTCAGCACCGCCGGCCAGCTGCCCCGCTGGGAGTGAGCTTGGAGGCTTCATCAGGATTGATATACCTATTTATGCTGTAGATAAGGGGGTTAGGGAGATGTCCTTTCTTTCTTCTCAGGTGGTCAGAGAAAGATAACTTTGCCATATGGAAACTAAGTTGATAGATGTATTTGTATTTTTTTTAAAGATGTACTCTTTAAGCTGGTCTGTTTTTCAGGGGAATTTATTATTCTGCAAAATCTGGGCTCCTCTAGGTTGCAGGAAGGAAATCAAAAGAAGCACATTCATGAGTGATCTGTTTACAAAGAACGTATAAAAATGCTGTATCGTTCTTTCACTGTTTTTTTTCCCCATTTCACAGAATGATTCAATCCCTCAAGATGACTTCACACCAGACGTGTACAGGGTGTTCTTAAACAACCTCTGCCCTCGGCCTGAGATTGACCACATCTTTTCTGAGTTGTAAGAAAAGAAGCTTATTTATTTATTTATCCCTTTCACTGATTTTCTGGGCTGGGGATGGCAAAGTAGGTTATTTAGTCTACAGCAGCATGCAGCGATTGCCAAGAACAGATTTCGGTGTCAAGCAGGGCTGTTATTTAACCTTAGATCAAGGGTTCCTTCTCTCCCAAGCTTTTGCCTCTATTTCTAACAGCCGGAGTTTTAAAGTAATTTGTTCCTAGAGGAGCAGAACTGCCAGGTCTTGTTTTTCTGTGTGGATTAGGATAGTTTAGGCTTCCATGAAAGGAAAGGAAGAAGAGTAATAAGCCATAACAGCTTGCAATAGCGATGAGAATACGTATAATCACCCCCAGAAGCTTAATTAGAAGCAGAAAAAAATACAGTAACTTTTCAGATTTGTGCATTATGAATTTGCACCATGAAATTAAATTAGCAGCCCACTACAACTGATTTCATACATTCAGTTACAAGCTATATAACTCATGTTGCTTCTACCCCTTGCAGCAAGTCATTGTACTTCCCAGTTTCAGCAGAGTCTGATCAATGGAGTCAGAACATGAAGCAATATGAAAGTAAAGTCATTCTAAAATTCATCCCAAGACCACCAAAGCAGTTAGTGAACGTATCTTTGCAACATGGGTGTAGTCCTTTTGTGCTTGTTTTCTCTAAGGTTGAGGTTTCAGAGGAACGCAGCCTTGGCCTAGTTTGCTCCTATTGAACCCAGGGGTAGGCTTCTCATTGCACTCTCGCAGAGCAGAAGTAGGCCAGTCCAGAGTGCTGTAGACAACCCTAAGCACATCACCTGGCTTGGAGGCTTCCTGGATCTCCATCTGGGTACAAATTGTACCCAAAGTCTGCTCTTTTTACTGACTCCCTAAATAGACATCTTTTTGCTTGCTTTGCAGAGTGCCTAGCCTTTTTTTAGCAGGTTTATAAAAAAAAACCCCAAGCAAATACTAGAATAATAAAATCAGGGCTGCTGTTATTCAGCAGTAAAACCAAATAGTTGGGCCAGGAATGGCAGCAGCGTTTGTGGCAAGCTCAGGATTGAATTCCACGTCATTTTCTCTTTTACTTTTTTCCAGTTGCTTAGTTCCAGGAATTCGGAGGAATGAAAAGCTTTTAGCATTGCTCTAACTCTTCCCATTGATGCCAATAACACTGAACACTTTTAAAAATCTTGCTCCTAGATGTTTGATGAAGAATGTTTGTTGTTACATGCTGGCAAAGTAAATTAGTCCAGAGACACAGTGGGACAACGTTTTTGTTGTACGATAGTTTGAATCTTGTTCCGGTTTCCCTGGGAAATTACAGAACATTGAACAAGATTTCAAGGAAATGTGTTTTAATGGCTTTGCTGTTGCTTTAATTTTTCTCTAGTGGTGCCAAGAGCAAACCATACCTTACTGTTGATCAGATGATGGAATTCATAAATTTTAAGCAACGTGATCCACGATTAAATGAAATCCTTTATCCACCGTTAAAACAAGAACAAGTTCAACAGCTGATTGAGAAGTATGAACCCAACAGTAATCTAGCAAAGAAAGGTCAGTGGTTTTTATATTCTCTCTGTACTCGGTTTCTGACTTGAAACAATGACTCAGTTATCCTACAGCACATGCTAAAGCAAAATTTGGTTCAGAATCAAATTGCAATTCCAACTATCTGCTTTTGGATTTTACAAGCCTGTGAGAAGTTGTGTGGTGCATTTTTAAATGTATTTAGTTGGGATCAATTTAGGAAGAATGGGGCTGGTTTCAGTATTTACTTTTCAGTACGTGTAATTGATAGTTTAGAACAGTTGATCTGGTATGCAAACTTCAGCAGAAACCTTATTATCACAGTGACTATTTACCAGCATCTGAAATGTAAAATTTAAAGAAAAAATCCATGACAATGAAACTAAGAAGATGGCAATTCTGTCATTTAATAATAGTAATAAGTCCAGCCCTCTGCTTTCTGATGAAGTGGTACACAAAGTAAGATGTGAGAGTAGCTGAGTGTGTTTCGTGATATACTCACAAAAAATTCCCTTTTGAAAATCTCAAGTGTTGTCAGGGCTTAACTGGGCATTTTGCCAAAACCAGCGAGAGAACTCCTGCTCAAATCTCTGCAGATTTTTGCTACCACCACAAGTCTTAAAATAGCACTGAATTTGTGTCTGTATCCTGTTCTATTCCACTCCCCATATCCTAATGATTACCCCAGCTTTTAATGTGTTTATACCTTAGAAATTTTAGGGGCATGGGAATATCCTGAAAAACAGATCTAATATGAAAAAAATGGTTTGGTTCAGAGATTTCGGATCCAGAGGAAACACAAACACGTCTTTCCCAAAAGTCTAGAGGTTAACTGAAGGCAGTTCCGCCCCTCTCTGTGGAAGCCTTCTGACCTAGATGTCTTCCTGAAGGAAACCTGTGGCTCCCGATCCTGTGATCAACATTGTCTCAAGGCAAAACACTTGTAATTTTTCTTATAAGGCTTCTTATTTTTCTAGGCCATTCAAATTTAGTGTTTCCAGAGGTTTTGATGGAGGGTTAAATCCTGCTTCTTTGTCATGCTTATGCAAACTGTCTTTTGACATCAGTGAGAACACTAGCATGGATAGGTGAAAACACATTGTGACCTCCTCTCTCATCCATGCAAATATTAGAATATTGCTCTGTGCTTACCTTATTTCACATCAGCAACAGGAAAGTCTGGTACCTAAAAGATCATTCTTATTACCCAAATATTGGTGCTTCATATAAACCAGATAAAGGATTTATTAGAAGGAGGTGTGCTAGTGTGCTAGCAGGACACCGAAGTCAAAATGAAATCACCTTCTGACTAGCAGTAAGGAGGAAGCATGAAACAAACCTCAGAAAGAAGGGTGTTGTGGTGGTGTTTGCTAGCACCCTCCAAGTAGGGTTTGCGGGACACCTCGAGCTTACGTTGGTGCACACAGTTGCTGCAGGCACTTGCTCTTCCATAGGTGCCTCTCTTCCTGGGTATGATTTATATTGCTTTTACGGAATCCCAGAACATGCCAACTTTAACAAGGGAAGGGCAGGTCATAGAGAGTTAATTCCTTCGGGGGGGGGGGGGGGGGGG